ATCTGATTCCTATGCATATCATCAGGTGAAATCCATGTGTATAATCTACGTTTATGTCTCTTAAAAAACGTATTTGCAATGAATAAGTCATTGATTGTGCAACAAATATACTATCTCTAAAATGTACTGGAGGGTCCGCTATCAGTCAGTTCTTACTTGACACAAGTAAGAATACAGTATACTTTTACTTTTTTCTTACTTGACACAACAACAACAGTATATAAATATATATATATACACACTTTTATATAGGTACCCTCCCCCCTCTTTTTTACTATGCTGAATCAGTAGAAAACATACAAACTCTTTACCTTCAATTTTGATTGGCAACAGTTCCTAGTTGCCTTGATCAAATCTTCCTCAAGGCTACTTGATTTTGTATTCTTCATTGCCTTGCAACAAAAATATGCATAGAATCTTACCCCTCACCCCGTCAATTGGTGTTTTAATTTTTTATCTTATTATTAGTGTGTGTGTGTGTACACCATCAAATTGGTCTGACTGGCACAGGAGGAGATTGCCCCTCCTTCTCCAGCAGAGCATCTGGTGGATTCGAACCACACATCTCTGGGATTGCAGTGCAGCTTCTTGCCACTAGACCACCAGAGCGAATTAGTGTTTTAAAAAGAAACTCAATAGGATCCAAAAGTTGTTAAACAAATGGAATATCTGAAAGAAACCCCAAAATAACATTTTCAGGAGCTTAAACTGACACAGTTTGGGACATGGTTGGACCCAAACAGTGTTTGTTAAACAAAGCAGCCCTTAAACACAGCTCCATATTACCTGCTGATCAAACAACGCCCAGAACATTGGGAGCGGGATGTACAGGAACATCACCTTGGTGACCATCTTAATTTGGGAGATCAGTCGCTCCTGCAGTTAGGGGTGGAAAGACAAGTCAGCCACGAGACATCTGTATCTCTAGACAAATTGGGAGGTGATTCATTGTTCTCCTGACTACAACTACAGCTTTCTTTCTCAAGGTGAAAATCTCTATGCTATATAAGATACAAATGAAAACATCAATATAGGTGGTAAACTTAGGAGAAGTCACTACTCTAACCTCAATCACTTACTCTTCTACAACCAAACTCAAGTCTTTGATTTCAATTGCAGATGATTCATGGTATACTATAAAGAATGTAATAAAACGTTGTCTCACATACTTGAAGCACGTTGTGAGGAGAAATCCATTCTTGGAAAAATGCATCATGCTTGGAAAAGTGGAGGGCCAGTGAAAGAGAGAAAGACTCTCAATAAAATGAATTGAGGTAGTGACTGCATGGATGGACTCAAGTATATTAGAGATGCTGAGGACGGCAAAGTATAGGGCTAGGTTCAGGTCTGCTGTTCACGATGAGCCGTGGTTGACTCGATGGCACTTAATAACAACACACAGAATACAAAGGGAGCTCTGGTGGCCTAGTGGGTAAGAAGCTGCACTGCCAACCCAAAGGTAGACAATTAGAATCCACCACTTGCTACATGGGAGAAAAATGGGTGATCTTCTTTCATGTGATTTATAGCCTCTGAAAACCTGCTGGTGGGTCAGCTATGAGAAGGTCTGACTCCATGGCCTATAACAACATACAGAATACAAGCAGTGCTGGGGGCATGGTGCACAAGTGTCACTCTACTACCAAATGTTCAGCAGTTTGAATCTACTAGTTATTCTTCAGGAGAAATACGAGAAATCTGCTCCTGTTAAGATTTACAGCCTCAGAAACTCAATGAATGGTCATTATGACTAAGAATCAGCTCAAAGGTAGTGAATTTCATAGTGAGTCTATTAAAAGTGTGAGGAGACTATAAATCCAAATTGACTCGATGGAAATGGGTTTGGTTTTATATAAAAAGGAAATCTATGGACAGGTAAGACTGTTTCCAGATCAATTTTCCTCATTGTTTATCAAGTTCTTCTCAGAATAAAAGTATTGTTTAAAATGTAAGTAAATATTAAGGGGGTAATTGTTCATGTACAATTAATACTGTGAACTCAAACTAGATTTTCACATTCTAAAGGGAGATTAGGGAGCTCTGGTAGACAAGTGAATAGGGAATTGTGCTGCCAACCCAAAGGCAGGTAGTTCAAATCCACCAGCTGTTCTGCAGAAGTGAGATGGCAATCGTCCATGCTATGTACGGCCTCTGAAAACCCACTGGAGGGGTCAGCTATGAACTGGTTCTGATGTGACAGCAATGTGAGAGCAAGCAACAGAGAAAGAGATGGTAGATACACTCACATACACACACAGAGACAGACTGAGATTGAGATTTGTATTAATTGGGGTCATTTAACAACAATGATTACTTACATCATATTTCTCTTTGGCCCAGTCCAGCCAGTGTTCCCTCTTTGGAAATGCCTTACTCCGATGCCTAAACCTATTTTTGATGGCAAACTGAAAGAAAGGAAGCAAAACATTATTTTAAATAGAACTGAATGCAGGAAAAAATATTGCAATTAAACTCCATTTACTAGAAAAATGAAAATTTGTGAGAAAAGCAGAATAGAAAACTTATATAGGCTCATGTATTTTTCAAAAGGCATAATAAATATATCCATTTCTCATCTCTTTCTAAACAAGAGTGTTTGAGCTGAGTTAACAAAGCCATAAATGTCACCACCTCTTCTCCAGATCTCCCAGAGAAGTCATAATATCATTAGTAATTTATAGTAGTAATCATTAGTATTATAGTGTCAGACATATTTGTAATTTAAATTTAGGCCTATTAGGCACACTGGTAGCCCAGCCTAGTGAGCTGTGATGCAAACTCAGAGACTACATGTCTCCATCAGTTTGAATCCACCAGTGACTCCTTAAGATAAAGATGGGCAGTCCCCTCCCATTGCCAATTACAGCCTCGAAAACCCAATGGAGGCTTACTATGGGTTGGAACCAACTAAGCAACAGTGAGTTTGAGTGTGAGGTAGCCTAGAGGTTTGTGCATTATGCTATTAATTAAAAGACTGGCAGTTTGAGTCCACTAACTGCTCCGGGGGAGAAAAATGAGCATTCTTCTCCTGAAATGACCTACAGCCTTGGAAACCTGATGAAAGGTCACGTTGGGTCAGAACTGATTCAGAGATAGTGGGTTTGGTGGTTTATTGGTGTGGTTTGGTTTTTTTTTTGTTTTTTGTTTTGTTTTGTTTTTCAGAGGGTGGTTAGTAGCCATATTAAAACCAAAATAGATTTTTAATTTCATTTGTCCTGATAAACATCAAACATCATTTCAACATGCAACCAGTATTAAAAAAAATTTATGAGAACTTTTACATTACTTCTTCATACATGGCCTTTAAAACTCGGGGTATGTTTTACACTGACAGCACATCTCCATTTGGATACCAAATTTTTATCAGATGTCTTTTATCTGTATATATGTATATATGCATATATGTGTGTATGTATATATGTATATATGCATATGTGTGTGCACGTATATGCTATGGAGTTAGTCTTCGAACATGGCTTTTCTAGCATTATTTGAATGTGGATAGGCAGGACTAGGTGAATGCAGCATGCTGGTTTATCCACAAGGGGACTGGCTAATCTAGCATTCCACAAAGGGACTGGCTAGTTTCAATAATCTACAAGAGGATTGGCTAGTCTCGCCAATAAATTGAACAGCTTTAACCACGGAGTTTGGATCTTCCCCCACCAGAAGTGGAAAGAGACTTCCCACAGCCTGGTGAAAACAAGCAGGAAAATGTAGGCCACGCTGGGAGACAGCAGCAGCAGCAACAACCCTGGTCAAACTGGAGAGGTGACGTAAGATGAGATGAGACCTTGGGGTAATGGGGTGTGGAGGTGAGGGTTGTGAGCCAATATTGGTATGTCTGAGAACTTTGCTGGACAATTGGGGAGGGGAAGCCAATATGAGCAGGACTGAGAAGTTGAGAACAGTGACCTGGAGCCACAAGATTTGAGGGTAAGGTGCCTGTGTGTATATTTTGGCAGCTGTCTTGACTATATTCTGTTATTAATTTGAATTACTGTGTGGTCTGTGATTGATCACATGGGATTTTGGACCCGGCGAAACAATAAGATTGGTGTTGAGATGGGTAGAAAGATGTATGGGAGTGTGGGGGACATGTCTGACCTCATGATAATTGTCTTTTTATTATTGATGCTATTGAATGGGACAGTTGCCCTCCATGAAGCTGATAACGGTCAGATATGGCACTCACTATGTGGTTCTTGCTCTTTTTAAAAAAATGTATAAAATTTATCTTGGAAAGGTACATGTTGTTGTTGTTGTGTACTGTTGAATTGAACCGACCCAGAGCTGAGCCTCTGGTGGGTTTTCAGAGACAGTTAATCACACAGGAGGAGATTGCCCATCCTTCTCTCACGGAGCAGCTGGTGACATAGCACGCTGTGGGGATTGCAGTGCAGCTTCTTGACAGTAGGCCACCAGAGCTCCCCCTGGGAAAACTACACATACACAGTTAAATTGTCTCAGATATGCTGGAAAATTTTACAATAACCCTATTGAATATTGTTTTTTTAAAAATTTCAACTCATCCTTTTTTGCATAGTCTATTCTTCCCATTTAATTCCCCCCATTCATTCATTGTTGCACATTTTCCTCCCTGCCCACCCCTCCCCACTAGTTTTTCTCTTTGAAAAAAAAAAGTATTTCATTGTTATATAATTCCCCTTCCCCAAGTCCACTGTCCACTTTACTATGCATTTCTTTTTCTGGAATCTTGTCATGAAAATAATACCTAACCATATATTCCTTTTAAACAGTTTTCTTCCTCATCTGTTTCAATGCAGTATACATTATTTATCCCCTCTTTTCTTAGGTTCTCCCCAACCCCAATGTCAGTCCCACTTTACAACAGTGGTACTATTTGTCCTTTTTGCAACTGAGGTATTTCACTCAGCATAATGTCCTCCAGGGTCACCCATTTGGAATAATATTTCATGAGTTCCTTGTTTTTCAATGCAGCATAATATTCCATTGTGTGAATATACCACAGCTTCTCTATCCATTCATTTGTTGACGGGCATTTGGGTTGTTTACAACTCTTTGCTATTGTGAACAAAGCTGCGATAAACATGGATGTACATGAATATAATTTTTAAATTAATTTAAACACAGTATAAAATACAGTTACTCAGGTACATCCGACCCACTTAGAGAAATCTGGTGTCCTAGGGGAAAGGCATTGTGCTGTCAACACAGAGGCAGATGGTTTGAATCCACCAGCTGCTCTGCAGGATAAAGATAGTCAATATTTTTCTGGGTGTGTTAAAGCCTCTGAAAACCCAATACAGGGTCAGCTATTAGTGGGTTCTGACTCAAGAGCAATCAGACAGGTGCTCAAGAATAAGTGACTAATTGTAACCATGTTAGCTAGTGTATTTCTTTTCAGAATAAGTGCATGCAGGGGTTAAATGCGTGGCTGCTAACATCAGTGGTTTCAACACATCTTGGAAGAAAGTTTCAACAACATGGGGTTTTTTTTGAAAGAAGGATAAAGCAGTCTGCTTTCATAAAGATTTACAGCCTTGGAAACCCTAAGGGACGTTACTACTTTGTCCTGTATGGTGAGTATGAGTTTGAACCAACACCAGTGTTTTGCTTTGTTCTTTCAACCATACAAAGAGAGTGAGAGCTTACGATGCAGAATTGCACTTAAAAGTATGTTTAAAGGACTTCATGAATATGCTAACACTAAACAGAAAAATATGCTGCTTTACTCATCATAAAATTGGAGGTCACGGAGTCTTTTCTAGTGATGCTTAGTTAGAGGTCTTCAGGTGTGCCTCTGTGGCAGTTCAAATCCACAAGCAGCTCTGAGGAAAGAGATGGATAATCTCCTCCTGTACAATTCACAGCCTTCCAAATTTTGGCTGCAAGGACAGTGATGAGCTGGTTTTAATTTAGTGGCAATGAGTTCATTTTTTGAATTGATACGCATGCACATGTACCATGTAGAAACAGAAGTACCATATTTTGCAAGTTCCTGTCACCAAATATTCTTTAAAACATAATATCTGATCACTGCATAACTCCTCAAAGATAGACAACATACCAAAGATACACCATGGGTTTACACTGGAAATTAAAGGCCATTCTCTGTCCTTTTATAAGGAATTTAGTGTAAAAAACCATTTTTGTTGCCACCGTGATAAACATCCTGTATGAACTGTGCTCATTCTGTGTAATGTTTTCTTAGCTTTAATTTCTAGAAGGAGGTTCATAGAATTTATATGCTTTAAGACTTTTTATATAATTCAGGATCTTTGATACAAATCACCTCCCCATTGTAACTCTGCTCTGTCACAAACATCAGCTGATATCTGCCAATGTGATGGGCTAGGAGTAATTTTTATTTGCTCTTCCCTGACCACTGACCTAATTTTCTAAACCTGACAGCTACTTTTATTCTTCCTTCTTTGGGTTCTGTTTATGTTTATATTTTCTGTTTACTAAAAAACAAAAACAAACCAAAGTAAGAAATATCAACTCCTCAAAATCATTATGATGGCAGATAAAGTATCTGATGGAAAGTCAAAGACCTATGAGATGAGAGTTGAAGATGCAGAAAAGTTCTGTTCTGAGAACTACAGAAATACTTACACCAGTTTTCTACAAAGATAGTGCTGAAAGTGATGAAGGAAGCCCCAGTCCCTCCCAAAACTGAAGCCAAAGCAAAGGCCTTAAAGGCCAAGAAGGCGTCCTGAAGGGCAGCCACAGCCAAAAAAAAAAAAAAAGATCTATCTGCATGTCACCCACCTTCCAGCGGCCTAAGACGCTGAGACTCCGAAGGCAGCCCAAATACCCTCAGAAGAGCGCCCCCAGGAGAAACAAGCTTGACCACTATATACCATCATCAAGTTTCCCCTGACCACTGAGTCAGCCATGAAGAAGACAGAAAATAACAACACACTTGTGTTCATTGTGGATGTCAAGGCCAACAAGCACCAAATTAAACAAGCTGTAAAGAAGCTCTATGACATTGATGTGGCCAAGGTCAACACTTTGATCAGGTCTGATGGAGAGAAGAAGGCCTATGTTTGACTTGCTCCTGACTATGATGCTTTGGATATTGCCAACAAAATTGGGATCATACAAGCTGAGTGAAGCTGGCTAATTCTAAATACAAAATTTTCTCACCCAAAAAAAATAAAATACTTACACCAATGCACTTGACCACTTTAGCCATGATGTTACCCTGCGGCTGGACCTTCTTGTACAGTGAACTGCCAATGATAAACACAACTAGATAGGAGAGAAAAAATATTACATGGTGTTTAAGAGACCTATTTTGCTATCTTTGTGTTTTAAAACCCCTGTTGGGGAAATACAGACATATCTCATTGTAATGTACTTTGTAGGTATTACACTTTGTATAATTGAAGATTTGGGGTAACTCTGCATTAAACAAGATTACGGGCACCATATTCCCCAAGAACATGTGTTTCACAGTTACATTCTGGTAAGTCTCATAATATTTCAAGCATTTTCATAATGATATTGCATCCTTAATAGACTACAGAATAGTGTTGTTGTTATTGATTGCTTTTGAGTAAAAAACGACTCATAGTGACCCTATAAACACAAGGCCTGTAGCCCCTCTACAACTATCAACATTTATCAAAAGTTCATAGAGTTTCCAGAGGCATGTTATTTCGGAAGTGGATGCCACTCATAATGTAGACATAACTTTTCTATGGATTAGGGAACCAAAAAGTTCATGTGACTCATCTTAGTATGGTTTGATTTAATGCGGTGGTCTGGAACAGAAGCTAACAGTACCTCTGAAGTATGCTTGTCCTAGTATTGCCTGTAGAATGGATTTACCATCAGAAGAACCTCTAAGTAATGCTGTGCTTGTGTTCTAACATACAAATACTTAAGCATGATAGGCTCCACTTTGCAGAAGGAAGACGTAGGTGGCACACAGACACCCAGTACAAGCACTTAAGTATAAATTCAAACCCTATTTAAAGGAACACAAAAAAGAGGTGTGAACAGAATACTACACAGCATGCAGGAGCAACGAGTTTGTAAATCACTACCTAACTTGGGAGGGACTGGAGAGCATTATGCTAAGTGAACTAACTCAGTCCTATAAGGACAAATATTGTGTAAGACTATTATTGTAGAATGAGTATGAGGATCCAAGTTGGGGAATGGGGAGCAGATCGGTGAGGCTGGACAGTGTGGGGGTGCTTAATCATTGGGTCACACAACATTATGGTGCATAGGACTTTGTAGAGGTCATGTTTACCCACATCTAGGATTTGGCTTGTTTTTATTGGGTGTTAGGGGTTTTCCCCCTTTATTAGAAAAAAATTATAATCTTTAATGTAATGTAAGAATGACTTATATAGACTAAATGAGAATTTACCTAAAGTACTTAATACAGTGTCTGGTGCAGAACACTTTCTGACAGACTCTCTGTCTTACGAGGCTTATATGGGCTTTCCAGGGAAGTGCAGGGAATCTGGTGGCCTAGTGGGTAAGGAGTTACATGGTCAACCCAAAGGCAGGTAGTTCAAATGCACCAACTGCTACTAGAGGTGACAATGGGCAATCATATTTATAACCTCTGAAAACCTGCTCACAAGAAGGGCAGCTATGAGCTGGATCCAACTTGATGGCAATGAGTTGTTTTGGGTTTTTTAAGGGAAATATTGCAGTATTTTAAGAATTAGGCAAAAAAACTGACAGAAAAAAGTATTAGAAGGATTTAGCATAGTTGTAAGGATAAAACAGAACTGTTAAGACATGTGCTAAGAGATTAAAAAGAGTACTAACTGATGCTGTTAACTGAAAAAAAAAATTGGATCAAGTGACAGTGGCTGACAGCTCTTGCATTTAGGTGGGAGAAGAGGCGTGAAGACTTGAGCTGGTTCTGGAACTCTGTTTCTTTCTTGTACCACCATCTTTTCAGTCAGATTCTCTCATGTGGAAAATGCTCTGTTTTCTAAAGAGTCAATGCCAAGAACTACTGTGTAAGAACTATTATGTATTGTCTAGTAGCTACTATAAGTACATACTAGAGGCAGAGTGTACTAATAGAGACATTTTGAGATGATTCATTACAGAAATTTCTATGTTCACTGGAGGCATTTCAGCAACAATGAAACTAGGCTACTATTTCTTCCTGAAAACTGTAGATTTCAGCCACCGGTTAATCCAATGTAATAAGTCTGTCACTTTCATCTTAATCTACTAATAGAGCTCAAACTTTCAAATGTCCATCTAAACTGATTTCTTTTTCTGAAATCCTTTCTTGGATTCCTATGCCTCTGACAGAATGTGTTAGCCCTCTGTTTGACTGCTCAGAGCATATTTCACTTCCGATGGCAATTATTTAGTTGTTGCTGTTGAGATTATCGGTGCGAAAAATACACCAGTCCAACTACATAAACAATTCAATCACATGGCTTAGCTTTTCTGATTTGGGCAATCACTCTCACCCTCTTTTTGAGTTGTTGCACCCCTATTAATTTAAACTCACTGCCCGCAAAGGAGCCTATCTAAAATTTCTTTCTGTTAGCAAGCTGAAAATATTCTCATCTAGAAAGTTCCTAAGAGTATAATATTCAAGGCAAACTTTTTCACCTGCTCTCTCTTATTACTAGTGAGTGGGGTGTAACTCGTAGCTGACCCTCCAGTGGGTTTGAGGTTACAAATTCCACAAAAGGAGACTGTCTCTCCATCTCCCCAAGGGCAGCTGGTGGATTTGAACCATGAAAGAAGCACCGCCTTTAGGTTAGCTGCACCCCTTAAGGTCTGCACTGACAGAGCTCTCTTTTTTCATTCTTAGAAGGGCATAATGTTCAAGGCAGATGTTTTTCATGAGTTAAACTATTATTTGGTTTTAAGAAGATTTCAGGACTATTTTTTATTAAAGGTTTAAAGATAATCTCAGGGCAGTAGTTTTGGAGATTAATTTAGCTGCTGTAGCTCCAGAAGTCTGGAGTACATGAGAATTTTAAATTCTGTTCTGCATTTCCCCCCTTCTGATCCGAATCCTTATAGAATCCTTGATGAACATGTTCTGTACTGGTAACCAGGCACCAATCAGTTTCTTCCCAGACTCATGGCAAAGGAGGCAAGTTACTCATGGAAGCAATTAACCACACATTCCATATTCTCCTGCTACACCTGCCTTTCCTACTTCCTCTCTTGATCCAACCTGATAGAGACTATGGTGATAGCAATTCTTCACACTAGTTTTTGCTAGTTTGCTTAAATAGACTTCAAAAAATTAGTCTCGGTAACTGATGTACAGCTTGACCTGATCATTGGCTCAGATAAATTCAACATATTTGAACTTACTCAGAGAGAAAGCCATGAGAGCAGCAGGGACTCCAAACGCCAGTGGGTAGCACGCTTGTTTACTATGAATTCCACATTCCTGAACTGGAGAGAAATTACAGGGTTGAAATTAATTATGGCATTGGCAAAGCTTGTATGTTACGGTTGTTATATGTCATCGGGTTGGAGGCAACTCCTAGCTGACCCTCCAGCAGGTTTTCAGAGGCTGTAAATTATACGAGAGGAAACTGTCCATCTTTCTCCTACAGAGCACCTGGTGGGTGCAAACTGTCTGTCTGCCTTTGGGATGACAGCACACAATGACTTACCACTAGGTTGCTAGTGTTCATATCGTTACCATTTCCCCAAATCCCTAATTGGTTCTTGAACATTGCTTGCACTTGGTGTTCATTCTGGATGTATTCATTTGCCCTGCTGATTTTAGTGCTAGCTGAGGAAAGCAGTAATGCAGATTCTAATCTTAGCCCTTATGCAAATATGTATTCATTACCAACCAAAATCAGCAGGTCTTCTCCATGGTTTGTGAATTTTTTTAGTATGAGATAAATTTGATGCGGATACAGTACCTTGAAGATAGTGGAGCTTGATATATAAAATAAAAAGTACATTTAAAAAATACCAAGATTGTATATTCCAGCAGTCAGATTAAACAGTTGTCCTAGGGCACAGTCTATAAACTTTTCTGTAAAGGGCCACACAGAAAATAAAATATATTGACGCTCTGATGGCCTAGTGAGTAGAATTGCAGTGCAAACCCAACATCAGTGCCTCACTGGCAGTTCAAACCCACCAGTGACTCCCCAGGAGAAAGATGGGCTGTCTTCTCCCTTGTGATTTACAGCCTCTGAACCCTCACTGGAGGGTCAGCTACACGCTGGTTCCCACTCGAAGGTAGTGAGTGAATGAGTGGGCCAGTCACTCTATCAACTACTAAATTCTGTCTTTGTAGGTGAAAACAGCCATAGAAAATATGTAAAGAAATGATTCTGTCTAGATTTCTGATTTCATCCATGGGCCAAAATTTGCTGATTCCTGAAGACCTAGAATTTATTTTACCTTTGAAATCCCCTCTCTTTCTCATCCTCTTTCACTTTAAGTCAGAACCGACTCATAGCTGATCCTACATTGTGTTTCAGAGGCTGTAAAAGGAATGAGAGGAGTTTGCCCATCTTTTACCATTTGAGTGGCGGGTGGATTCAGACACGAGAGAGGTGTGGCCTTTGGTTAGCAGGACAGAACTATAGACTATGCCACCAGAATATAAATCTTAATATTTGCATGATATTATTATTATTATTTTAGAGTGAGAAAAAGAGATTTCGGGAGATCCTCTCAATGGAATGCTGGAGTCCGTGAGAGTATCTAATTCTCTAACAGTTTTAGCAGGAAACTCTCTGGTGGCCTAGTGGTTAAAGAGTTGCACTGTCAACTCTACAGCAGATGGTTTGAATTCACCAGCTACTCTGTGGGAGAAAGATGAGCAATCTCCTCTTGTGTGGTTACAACCTATGAAAACCTGCTGGAGGGCCAACTGGGGGTTGGTTCCAATTCAGTGACGAGTAGTTTTGAGAAGTGGGGTTTTCCCCCCATATTTTTATTATTATTACTAATTTTAATGAAAATTTACAAAGATTTTGGATTTCCATTCATTCATTGTTGCACTTTTCTCCCTGCCCACCCCTCCTCCCCATTTTACTCTTCTCTTTGAAAAGTAAAAAAAAAAAAAAGTCTTTCATTGTTATACAATCCCTCCCCCCAAGTCCACTCCACTGTGCAGCCTTCGTTCTGGACTCCTGTCATGACAATAATACCTACTCACATATCCCTTTTAAACAGTTCTCTCCCTCATCTGTTTCAATGCAATATACATTCTTTATCTCATCTTTCTCAGTCTCTTCCCAGATCTGATGTCAGTCCCATTTTACAACAGTGGCACTACGCAGTATTTGTCCTTTTGTGATTGAGATATTTCACTCAGCATATGAAGTGTTTTAAGAAGCCCTGGTGATGTGGTGGGTTAAGAGTTGGGCTGCTAACTGAACACAGCAGGTACTCTGAGAGAGAAAGATGAGGCAGTGTGCTTCCAGAAAGATTCCAGTCTCAGAAACCCCATGGGGCAGTTGCACTCGGTTTTATTTACTTTATGCATAAATGCATGTCACTCTGTGCCTTTAGGTAAATCCGGCAAGGCTGTAACTTTAGAGGACAGAGTAGAACTGCCCGTGAGTTTTCTAGACAAAATATTCTTAGCAGTACTTACTGAAGCAGATAGTCGGGTGTTTTCTCATGCTGTGCCACTCGATGGTTGGAACCATCATCCTTTTAGTAATTTCCATAGAAGATTTTATTTTATTTCATAACTTAATCTGGTCCTTAGTGAGAACACCACGCCCTGCCCTGTTGTCCTCTGCCTCTCTAGTGACTTCCACACAACAAGTTCACAAATGCTTTGGAGTGCTCACGAGCCTAAAATCCAAGCATTCTTAACAGCCATGATGAGTTCACCCTAATTTTCTGAGCATCTCATTTGGAAATCTTTGAGATTTTTGAAAAACAGAGGCTACATACAACTTTGCTTAAGACATACAGCTTTACCTACGAACCAAGTTCTTCCTAACTCTCTGAAGCTCAGCTGGGAGAAAGCTTGAAGGCTAAAATGGCTAATATTGCTCCACATACTTGCTCTTGACTCTTAACACTTTTTGTGCGTCTTTATTCTGGACTAATATGTTTTTAAAAATCTCTGTGAATAAAGACTATTTTAAACTGTTCAGTGGTAATTGAGCTAAGGAATGAAAAGAAAATAAATGTTTTTTGCTGTTGAGTGGACTCCAACTCACAGCAAGCCTAGATCCCAGAGAAAGGCATTTCCCTTGCATTTTCAAAGCTGTCATTTTTAGGAAGCAGTCTGACTCATCGTTCTGCCTCAGGCTGGGTGTGGGTTCGAACCGCTAACCTTCTGGTTGGCATTGATTTCATTTGACACCCCAGCATTGTATCCAACAGATAACATACACAGGAGGACAGTGGCGAGAAGGGGCGACACCAAGCAGATGGAACAGAGACTCCATCTTCACACCTGACTTTCTTCCCCACAATTATAAAAAAAGAACAACTCCTTTTAAAGCTTGGTTTGTTTCGTTTCTTACCTCTGAGGATTGGCGTGATGATGGTGGAAAGCAAACTTCCAGCATTGATGGCCAAATAAAAGATGGAAAAAAATCTGTTTCTTTGTTTCTCCTGTAATAGAACAGAGACTTAAAATAGGATCACTTTGGCTATAGAGCAACTGATCAAATGTACCTGCTGAGGTGGCTTGACTTTCAACTAATATTCTGTCAGCATCTTATTCTCAAGGGTGCTTGTTAACTACTGTTTCCAAATACACAGTTTTGTCTCTTACCTCCTGTTGTGAATAAGGATCGTAGATTAATGTATTTTTAAAATTCCCTACATACAAAGACTATTGTAGACAGTATCCTTGTTTAGAATCCTTGTGGGGAGACTTGAAACATTGTGAAAAGAACTCCTCCATTGGGTTTCCAAAGCTGTAAATGATAAAAGGACCCTGTCCACTTTTCTCTTATCTGCTAGTGGATTTGAACAATGTGGAGACACACTGTTTGCTGGAGTTACATACAATTTGCTATGGACTAGGCAACAGTTTGGAAGCAGGAGTGGCATCCACTTCCTAAATAGCATGCCTCCAGAAATCCATGACCTTTGATAAATGTCTGTAGTTGTAAAGGGGCTTCAAGCCTTCCCCCCCGCCCACAGGGTTGCTATGAGTTGTGCTCAACTCGAAGGCAATCAACAACAACAGGCAACTATAGCTCTTGAATTTTTTTAAATTATTAATTTCAATGAACATTTACAGATAATTTTGGGTTTCCATTCATTCATTGTTGCACTTTTCTCCCCGCCTACCCCCTCACCCTTCCCAGTTCGCTCTTCTCTTTAAAAAGTAAAAGAAAAACTCCTTCATTGGTATACAATCCCCCTGCATCCCCTCCCCACCACCCTGAGTATACTCCACTCTGCAACCTTCATTCCAGACTCTTATGATAATCATAATTCCCTATAATATATTGCTTTTAAACTGTTCTCTCCCTCATCTGTTTCAGTATATATAATTCATCCAGTTTTTCTCAGTCTTACCCCAACCCTGTTGTCAGTCCCATTCTACAGCAGTGGCACTATGCAGTGTTTGTCCTTTTGTGACTGAGATATGTCATTCAGCATAATGTCCTCAAGAGTCACCCATTTTGAATAATATTGCATGAGTTCCTTGTTTAGCTCTTGAATTTGATTCCACTGATGAGGTTTCCTGGAAGGTGCATGCTCTTACCTGGCCTTCTTCAAACTGATCTCCTCCAAATGCAGACACACAGGGCTTTATTCCTCCAGTACCGAGAGCTATCAGGACCAGGCCAATCATGGCCAGCACCCTGCAGGAAGAAGAGGTTATTGTTCAGTGTTAGAGTTGCAAAAGCAGATCCTCTCTTTCCCTGTTTCCTTAAGGGGATTCTGGGTAGTGGCAAAGAGAAGAGGCTCCACTTTCTGAGAAGTAGAAAGCAAAGAATGCAGTCTTGATAGTTCAATGACAGTGGATTTATCGACCTTTAAGTTTATGCTTTTGTCTAATAATTTATGATCTAGAACATTTACATCAATATGGAAGTAAGAACAAAGATTTATATATAGAGTTCTTAGGAGTCTTATAGTCCTCCAGCAAACAGATGAGCCAATGAATGTTAATGAAACAAATGTAAGCATTTCCTCTACATACCGGCTAACAAGGCAGGGCACTGGAAAATGTGATTTCATTGAAAAGGAGAGGCTATGGAGTGTAATCTTAATTTGTTTACAAAGTCTAGAAGACTAGAAAGAGTATGGTGTTGTTTCTATGTGCCATTGAGTCAGAAATGACTCCTAGTTGACCCTCCAGTGGTTTTCAGAGGCTATCAATTGCTCAAGAAGAGGTGGTCCATCTCTCCCATGCAGCGATGGGTAGATTTGAATAGTGTGACTTGGAGTAGGTAGTACAACTCCTTACCACTAGAGTCTCCCAGAAAGAAGCATAACAAAAAGTTTATCATTACATGTGGGTGTGGGATATATCTATTTTGCGCGCGCGTGCGCGCGTGTGTATATAAACATATATATAAACAAATTAGAATTTATCAACCCTCATTCTGTAGTTGTATTAGTTTTATTTATAAATGTTGTTAAAAAAAGGGGGGGGGAGATGAAAAAAAAATGTTGTTGTTGTTGTCATGTGTCGTGGAGTCACCTGCGATTCATAGTGAGCCCTAAACTCTGCTCTATCCTGTGTCAATTTTATTGTCTCTGATATACCTACTCCCCTAGTCACGATATCAATCCATCTCATTGAGAGTCTTCCTCTCCTGCACTGTCCCTCCACCCTCCCAAGCATGCTATCCCTCTCCAAGGACTGGTTCCTCTTAGCAACATGTCCAAAATATGTCAGACAAAACTTCAGAGTTTAACCGTCTCTAGGATGAATTTATACTAAAAATTTGCATGAAACAGAAAAGATCAACAAAGATATTGCCCAGAGAGAAAGTTCTCTAAGAAATTATGTTCTCTTATATTTCTTGTTCATCTCATAACACAGTTTACATTTAATCCTGCTGTTCTGTTCTTGTTAATTGTAGTCCAGCCAGTGGCAATCCCATATGTGTAGGATAGAGAACTGCCCCATAAAGTTTGTAAGATTGTCACCTTTTTGAAGCCAATTTCCAGAGGTATATTCGAACCATCAACCTTTGGTAGTAGTTGAGCACTTAGCTATTGGTGTCACACAGGTACCCTATGTTGTTCTTCCCTGCATTTTAAAACTGTAAAAATATGGCCAATTAAATAGTATGTACTACACACTCTTGTAAGAACTTTCACCATGTTTCAATATAAATTTCATAAAATGAAACAAGCTAAGAGTTATTGAGTGTTCATCCCTTGCTAGGCAATGGTATAGGAGTTTTACTTATGTTAACTCCCTCATAGGGTTGCTATGAGTCGGCTACAACTAGACAGCACTTAACAACAATAATACCGATTATATATATATATAAATAAATAAATATACGCGCTGGCCCAGTGGACAGAAAGCAATGCTACCAAGCCAAAGGTGGGTGACTTTTAATCCGTGGCCCTCGGGCCTGTCTTTCATTGTTTTTGTTCAGACATTCCTCTAGGTCGTATAGCCCTGGTTTACAAGTTGCTGTACCATGGTCACTTTTGGTTGCTGTGAGGCTGAACACTGTGACAGTAATGTGTCAAATGTGTTAATGGTTGGTTACCCAATGTGGACTGAGAGTGGGGTGGAGCTCCCCGATTGAAACAAGCTTGGAAGGAGGAGTGGCATCCACTTCCATAATAGCTTGCTTCTGGAAACCCTAGGAATCTGGAGAGAGGATGAGAGACTCAAGTGTTGGGGACTCTCCTTCATAGGGTCATTATGAGTCGCCTGCGACTCGAGAGCACTTAACAGCAACAAAAACCCACAACAGGCTTATGTAGTAGGTACCGTTATGGATGTAGAAACTGAGGCACACAGCTGAAAAAATTTGCTCCAGCTCACGTAGCCAGGAGGGGGCACAGCCAGAATTTGAACACACAGTGCCTGGCTCTAAAGTTTAGGGTCTTACTCACCATTATAGATTGATGAGATAACAAAGGCCCAGAAAAGGCCACACTTGCCTGAGGTCACACTGTCACTCTGTGGGAGAACTAGGAAGCAAATATGGCAGCCTGCGCTCAGGTGCTCACGACCCTCCCCCCCCCCACACACATATACACCCCACCACCACCAACACAGCTACCATGGGAACCAAAGAACTGGCTACACATCAATCCATTGTGCTAACAAGCCAGACATATGGGGATCAAATAACTGACTCAGATTTTAACTACAGAGGCCTTGGAGATATGCTAGTTCTAGACTACTGCAATAATGCAAATATATAATAAAATAAATATATAATAGAAAATAATATATAATATATATATAATTTTTTTGTTGTAGTTATGTGCCATTGAGTTGTTTGTGACTCATAGTGAACCTAT